AGTAGCTGCGACTACAGCCATGTGCCACCACACTTGGCTAATTTGCTGTATTTTTATTAGAGACTGGCTTTCACTCTGTAAGTGAGGATGGTTTCAATCTCCTGACTTGCTTAGGTCCACCTGCATAGGCCTCCCAAAGTGGAGGGAATACAGGCATAAACTAAAGAAACACAGCCCGGGTAGGAAACGTGTACAGATTCCAATGGAGATGTAAGAGATGCCTATTTTTGTATCAACTTAGGTGCAAACAAATGAAGAAGATTGTCAACACCACAGTTTACTCTCCTACAAGATTTCCTTTTAATCATGTGTAGCAATGAAATAAGGCATTTCATGTTACATGTAAAATTTTATTCTGAAAATTTTTAAAGAGACATTACATCAAAACAGAATAGTTTTCAATTCAATTAGCACTAACAGTTGTAAAATTACTTTCAAAAAATAATTTTTTATCTTAATACCTCAAAAATATTCAGGGAGGAAGTGAGTATCTCCCTATCCTACCAAAAACAACCTATTTCTTATAGTGGTACTCAGGTCATAATGCAGAAACCACATACTGATTTTCCATTCAACAGCAAGGTCTGGTATGCAATAATGATGATTTTTAGTATCACCTTCAGTCTCCTTTTTCACATCGCCTTCCCCCATCATCTCCTGTAAATGTCCGGTATCTTGAACTACCATGTGCTTCACGAGAAGTACGGTTCACTCTATCCACAGAGGGTGGACACATTGGTTCTTTTCTGCCACAATGCTGACCATCACTGGAACAGAAATCACCATGGCTCCTTGAGTATCTCTCCCGACTTCTGCAATATCTATCTCGCGTATTGTTATGATCAGGGCAACTGCTTCCACCATAAGTCTTCCAAGGCCTTTGTGCAGGTGCTGAACCATGAGAGGTACCTGCAGGGTTAATAAAATCATAGAACTTATGGTGAAATACATTTAAACATTTTTACTGGCATCACTGAAGCATGCATGAGGTATGTACTATTAGGAAATATTTGCATTCATCTGTCTTCATTGACAGTACAGTATTTATTTCTGCATTGATCAAAAGGCTTTATTTAAAAGAGGCATAAGAATAGTATTTTCAAGCTTAAGGAATTTTATTCTGAATTAAACGCCAATCACATTTTCTGTTAATTAACGGAGGTTTTAAGCTTCGTACAATTCCCTAAGCTTTCTACTGTTCAAAACTCTCAGTTTTAAAAATGTTACATTTTTCCTTTATACTTTCCCTTTTAAAAAATCTGGTCTATTCAATATAATTCTGTAGTTTAAAAACCAAACTTGGAGTCTTACTATAAGTCCGATATGAAGCTCTGTTAGACCTTCTACTATGATGTTCAGAATGATCTCTACCACCATGCCTTCTGTAGCCATCATGATCACTAAATTCAAACAAACAAACAAACAAAAAAAAAAAAGGTTTGACAGTGTCAGAATGAACGATTTAAGAAATCTATTGGACAAAACTGAAAAATGTTATCATACCTATATCCTCTAGTGGAATGTTTATCCTCTCTAGAACGAGCATGATCACGGTATGCATAGTGTCT